TCTGATATAAAATTCTCTACAACAAAACCTGTTATGAGTTCCATTAAGAGACTACCAGCAACAAACACCGAAATGCACACAAAAATAATATCTTTGTTTTTCCAAGATATATCTGCATTATTTATGGCCAACAGTCGATTTTTTGTACGCAGAATCGTCATGAAGTCAAATATTACGTCGTGAATTTTAGATCAAAGTTCATTATTCGCGATTTTTAAGACCAAAATATTTGATTCCTCCATATGGAGGAGTTTGGCTGGTGTAAACCACCCAAACCTACGTTATAAAGCGTAAATCATACTGTGCAGTAGAATTCACTGCAGCAAATACTGGAGCAATTGTAAAAATTGAAAATCGCAACGAGACAATAAGTTATGCACGAGTCATTTGGATTTAAGAATGATAGATCTCGGATTTTAGTACGAAATTCATTCATCCACATGACTGAGTAGTATTTTGGCACTACGATTGATGTCAGTTCGCAGTGAAAACCTTAACTCTAATGTCTATTTATAAATCTTAATCCCGATTTCCAATACTAATTTATGAACCCCATTTAGCCCTTGTAAATTGGTCGATATCCTGAAGTTCACTTAAGCATCGTTCAAAGATTTTCCACTCGTTTGAGTAACACCACCATCATAGTGATCGCATTTACAAATTCACACACAGACCACTGAACAGAGATCAACATTTTGACATTTTATCAGAATGTGTTTTGCGGAGATTTTTTAGAAATTTTCACAGATTGAAATCATGAGTCAGTTGAAGCTAGACCACCATTGAAAACCTGGAAACACTGGACGGCCGTTTCGTCCTAGTGTGGGACTCCTCAGCAGTGCGCATCCACGACCCCGCACCACCCGGGGCTCGAACCCAGGACCTACTGGCATTAACACCGTTGGATGCCGGCTCGGTGGTCTAATGGTAAAGTGCTCGCGCGCGAAGCCAGTAGGTCCTAGGTTCGAGCCCCGGGTGGTGCGGGGTCGTGGATGCGCACTGCTGAGGAGCCCCACACTAGGACGAAACGGCCGTCCAGTGTTTCCAGGTTTTCAATGGTGGTCTAGCTTCAACTGACTCATGATTTCAATCTGTGAAAATTTTGACATTTGTCAAATCAGAAGCTGACGATGGAAAACAAACCAGTTCTCTATTGTACCCAGTTCAATTACGACTAGAAACCATACAATAAAATACCGGAAATCCCAGACTACACAGCACACCAAAAAAAATCAAACTTTAAAAACACAACCAAGCTGTATGTAGTAGAAAGTGGAGCGAATGGAACACAATTAATCGAAGAACAGTAGAACATAGTAAGAGTCAATAAGTCTATGGATCGCTAACAATATGAACATAAAAATGCAACAACCCAAGCTGCCAACTTTGGGGAAACTTCCCCAAACTTTGGGGAAATTCTGGGTCTCAGTTCCCCTAAATTTACTATAGCGGCTTCGCCAAAATGAGCCAAATTTTCCTCAAATTTGGAAGCTCGGGAATACGCTAAGCCACCAACCATATGATAAAGATATAAATAATAGCACCGTGTTTAAACATTTCCTGTATTCGTCCTGTTATAGAGCCTCCGAATTTCGGCAGAACTATAGCAAGTTTTTTACCTGTATATTTATCATTAATTAAACGATTTTGATGAAAATTAAATGGTTTCTGGTTACCAAGGTTTTCTTCTCAGAAGGAAAATCGCAGGATCTTTTCGTAACAAGATAATCAAAATATGCTAGGTATGTATACGTTTGAGATTTACTCTACGACCATTGTAACCTAATCATTTCCAGAAAACTTTAAACACGGTCAACGTAATTCGATTTTTTATTTGTCATCAGTAGTTGAGACATCAGGATACGAATTGTTTTGTTTTCTGTTTTGTCTATGATACTGCAAACCACTGAAATGTAAACAGTCATCGTGTTGCAGTATGCTTTCAACTAACATGTCATGAAAGTCCGACAAAACATCATCCTGCTCGCAACTTTGCACTTCATCTGTAACATTGCTCCGGATCGGTTATAGATAGATGTGAATTCACTCTGTGGTTCTCTTCTTAAACTGACAAGCATAAAAGACAAGGAAAATTAGGTTTACCTATCACACTCTCTGAATTATTACTTTATTTCTCTTCCATTTAAGGCACACATGCATGCACATTCAGTAAGAGATTATCCTGCTGTGAGCTTAACATCTCGCTGGTTGTGCAATATGGATTAAAACCAGTACTGGACTTCGTATCCAACCGGGCGTCACTGAATCATAGGAAGGATCTGTACTTTGCATCTGATTTCCCGCTGATGACGAACTCAAAATATAATACTTTTATTTGTCATCTAGTTCTACCTACCTGTGGTGTTTGAATAAACTAATGACACTTTTGTACTTGTTGAATGCTTGATTTCGAATTCTAAATACAGTACATTCGTTCGTGGTTATCTAGTACTTCTTGATCCGATTACGATATTTCTGGGATTCGTAGTTTATACTATAATCCAAATACTTCTGATTATCACATTACCTCATGTAGCTTTACTTCGAAAATTATCAGTGCGTTTATTCGAATACTTCTAACTATCATACTGGCGTCACGATGGAGTTAAAACTTGGACATTCGGATGCTAATTCAATTTCGGATGAATTTGAAGGCTGGATCGAGCGGTTTAACCAGTGGTACGTGACTAGGAAGGATAATTAAGATAAATTCACGGCGTATTTCTTGACCCTCTTCGGGAAGCATCGCCGCTTTTAGCCATAATCGAATTGGGTACAAGAGATTATTGATCTGCTCTCTGTGATATCCTTATAGCACATTAAGTTAGAAAGGGCTCGATGACCAATAAGCGTCATCTCAGTAGGTGGTCGGTTAATTAGGTTGCCGGCCATTCCGGCAATTGCTCAGATCCGAGAAAGTAACCATATAGCCGAGAGACATTACGGTGCGATAAGACCCGATCAAAGTCTTGAATGAAACATTTGATTTTTGCATTACTTGACACAATCCTTTTATTACTAGGATTTGTTTCTTACTAAAACTATCACCTCCTTGATCAGCTGACCACATTCTCTTCAATAAGATCTGGGATGAGGAACAAGTACCAAAAGACTGGAAAGAACTTCTGGTCAAAACACCGAAGGCGATCTCAGCAAGTATCATAACTACAGGGGCATCACTCTTCTCTCAATACCAGGAAATGTCTTCAACAGAGTATTGCTAAAGAGTATGAAGGACTCCGTAAACGCCCAACTTCGTGACCAACAGGCAGGATTCCGTAAGGATAAATCCTGTATAGACCAAATCGCAACTCTATGGATCATTGTGGAACAATCAATTGAATGGAATTCATCACTCTACATCAACTTCATTGACTACGAAAAAGCATTTGATAACGTGAACAGAACAACACTATGGAAGCTTCTTCGATACTACGGCGTGCCTCAGAAGATCGTCAATATCATACAGAATTCCTATGATGGATGAAACTGCAAAATCGTACGTGGAGGACAATTGACAAAGTCGTTCGAAGTGAAGACCGGTGTTAGGCAAGGTTGCTTACTCTCACCGTTTTCTATTTCTCCTGGTGATCGACTGGATCATGAAGACGTCAAAATCTGAAGGGAAGCACGGGATACAATGGACATCTAGGATGCAGTTGGAAGATCTGGACTTCGCAGATGATCTGGCCCTTCTATCCCAAACGCAACAACAAATGCAGGAGAAGACGAACAGTGTAGCAGCAGCCTCAGCAGCAGTAGGTCTCAATATACACAGAGGGAAGAGCAAGGTTCTCCGATACAACACAGCATGCACCGATCCAATCACAATTGACGGAGAAGATTTGGAATATGTAAAAACCTTTACATATCTGGGCAGCATCATTGATGAACATGGTGGATCTGATGCAGATGTGAAGGCGCGGATCGGCAAAGCAAGAGCAGCATATTTACAACTGAGGAACATCTGGAACTCAAAACAACTGTCAACCAACACCAAGGTCAGGATTTTCAATACAAATGTCAAGACAGTTCTACTGTATGGGGCGAAAACCTGGAGAACTACGAGAGCCATCATCCAGAAGATACAGGTGTTTATTAACAGTTGTCTACGCAAAATACTTCAGATCCGTTGGCCGGACACTATTAGCAACAACGTACTGTGGGAGAGAACAAACCAGATCCCAGCGGAGGAAGAAGCGCTGGAAGTGGATAGGACACACATTGAGGAAAGCACCCAACTGTGTCACAAGACAAGCCCTCGCATGGAATTCTCAAGGCCAAAATAAGAGAGGAAGACCAAAGAACACATTACGCCGGGAAATGGAAGTAGACATGGCAGTACAGGGACAAGAATTGGACGGAACTAGAAAAGAAGGTCCAGGACAGAGTGGGTTGGGGAATGCTGGTCTGCAGCCTATGATTCATTGGGAGTAACAGACGTAAGTTACGGACGAGTGGCATACCGTCGCTTGAAGCACAATAAAACGATCATTACGAAGGTTATCTTTAAATCTCATTCTTCAATAAGCAATTTCATACTTAAGAACTGACAGGTCAAACTAGTTGCTTTAACGCAAAAGCTCTAACGGTAATGTGAACCAGTATTATGCGGCAGTAAGGTTGTAAAGTTATAGAATCGTCGATTTCCTTTTTGAGAAGATTCAAAATACTAGTGAAACCTAAAAGTGGAGTCTTTAGCAAGCAACTAATACAACCGAACTTCCCAACTATCATTGTAATGTAGGTATAACATATTTAATGTGCTTTTGTGTTGACTAACTCCATTTCGTAAAAAATTGTTAGTAAAACCAGAAATATGTAGTTTAGTTTGTTGTATATTAATGATCGCTCATCAGTGAACAACGAAATCTGCGTAGGCGTACCAGTCCTAAAATCAGGATCTCAGGCTATATTACACCGATTCGACATACGGAATGCTCATACCAGTAACCTCTGTGATATATACACTGAGAATTTACGTAAGAAAAGATTGACTTGTTTAGTACTTTTATTTTCTTAACAGAGTAATAACAGCAAATTTTAAAAGTATAAATTAAATTACGTTTCCAAATAGAATATACGACAAGAGTCTTACAAACAAATATCTTGTTGTTCTTCTTATCTATAAAAAAGAAAAAGAAGTGATAATTTTGCTATCACAGTAATGATGGTTTACAGTCAAACTCCATAACTGGATTATATTTAAGCCCCAACACTACGTCACACTTTTTTACCGAAAGTTAAAATTGCCTAAATTTTGAGTGTGGTTCAGAGCCGATTACACAAATATCAAATCGCTCAATAAGTAGCACTAGTTATAATTGTAGTTCATAACAGAAATGAGCTGACAACTTTTAAGAAGTTTGATTAACCACTTCCTTTCCATGTTTACCGATCCCATCCTAACAAAATGGTATGTATTTCTGCATGTCAGACATAATTAACATCGGTACAAGTTGTCAAGCCACATCAGCATAGTCGGCTAGAACTATCAGGAATGCCAAAGTAGTGGTAAAAGATATTGGGTTGACCGATGGATACATAACCCCTAAAAAATATGTACAAGGGAATTTGATAAATATAAATTGAAATTAGGTTGTATATTCAATGTCTGTATAGAAGTCAAGTGTTTGAATTTCAAACACTTGACTTCTATTTGAAGTTTGTGCTGATGATGTCGTTCAGAAGAACGATGACAGCTCCACGACCAAACCACCCAGCTCAGAGAACAAAACTCCACCCAAATCATCCACCTGAGCTACAAATCTTCTCAACCATCTCAAATATTAGATTGGCTATTCTTCCATTATTTGATCAATCTTGTTTAAAAAAGCAGTAACCAATCGACTTTACGCTGTTCTAATTATAACACTCTCCTAAGTTGGTAATGTGGTCGGTACGATTAATTAATCTTGCTGATTTTCTTCTATTCCACCATAAATGATATCCTAATAGCAAATTTGAAAGAACGTCGTTGTGGTGCAGACACGTTTTCAGCACAAAGAATAAGAAACTTTGACTATGCTAGCATTATTTCACCAGTCAAAGGGCTTGATTATATAAATTGCGACTGTCCTTTATATGTCGTTGAAAATCATTTATTAGCATAAATAAGAATAATGCCAACATATCAAGATTTTTCAAAGACTGTGTACGACGGACCTCAAGTAGCTGTCTCATAAGCACTATAGTCATGCTCCTAAGTTGCCAAAACAATAATCTAATTTTCTTTTCAGATGACTCAAGAAAAAATGTCCTCCCATGATATAGAAATCTAGGAAGTGACGACTGTTCACACATCTCGAGCAACACTCAAGATTCTCTTGTTCATTTTCGAATCCCTTTGTCACTACTTATTATTTATTCCACCTATTCTTTTATGATTTTATCCATACCCACCACTAATGCTAACAATTCGAGTTCACGAAATGTTATTCCTGGCCTCTTAAGACCGCATGTTGGGCTTTCAACGTTACAATATTAAGTCAAAACAGATTTAATTAGCTACAACTACAGAATATCACGCTCTTTGAAACCCAGATACAGGATTCAAGGGTAGTCATTCACTTGACCTCACCTAGTCAGGATGAAGAAAGACCATGATCTACTATTCGAGCGTCTGGAGACTCAACCGGCACTTCTCGTGACATTGCTAGCGTTTGGTGTATATCATAGGGTTCCAAAGCGGAATAGGTCCTTTTGGTCTAGATTCCCAGACAATCGCTTATGAACAAGGAAAGACAAGGGCACACATTATTGTTTCTGCTTAGGATCCCACCGACTGTGGCTAAGATGAAGATGAGTTTCACAGAAAACTTTCTGCTCTCTTTCAAAAAATCAAACGACCAGTCACAGTAATCATGACAGGTGATTATAATGGCTATATCTTAACCAAACCATAGAGCGATCAGATGGATTCTAAGTGTCCCATCTCAGCGAACAGATAACAGTATTTTTAAAAGCAAATATACCTAGACAACCGGTTAGTCCTAACAACCATAAACTTTAAACGAAAAGAAACAGTGACTGACACGGCAACACCACGATATGACCAACAATGAATGCAAGTAGACAATCTTGTCATTAGTCATCTTTGGAGGCTCGACAAAGGAATTTGCTTACTCTAGAGTACATGTCTAGATCCTGATCACAACCCCTAACCACATCAGTTGAAGATTCACTGTCTCATCTTAACTAAGTGTCCTAGGTTTAATGTCAGCATTACTTGACGTTTCTAACATACGCCAGTATTGCTTTGGGCAGTTGAGTGAGATGAAAGTTATTGTAAAAATGATTCTAAACTATGTGTACATAGAACACCATACACATTTAAGGAGAAATAAGATAAATTTGCATTTTATTTGAGGGTAAGCAAGTGACAGTCATAAAGTTCCGAATCAGAGAACAAACGGAACAAACTTGGGTTTGAGACAGTCAGTTGTGTTGGTTGTGAAGGTTCTTAACTTTGTAAATCAACTGGTACTTCAATTAACCTTGAAAGATAATTGGATGCGCACACAAACAGCCTGTCAATTGTTAGTCTTCTCTAGGAAAAAATTTGAATCATTCGCACCATATTCTTCACTATTCGGTAGAGCACATGTAAAAGTATAGTCATGTGATTAATCACCATCATGATATTAGTACACCATTTCAGGGATTCTTTCACATGTGGACTGATTTTTTTTACATATGAGATGTTTTAGGAATGTGACTTTACATATAACTGCCTCTTACATCTGCACAAGTTCAATTTACAGAGGAACGGACCAAGCTGGAGATATCATTACGTAATGCACAAATCGTTTTGCAAACCTAATAATCTTTGAATATGAAACAAGAAATCGGTTCAGTAAAAGGTTTTCTTTTAAATGGCTTTCCTCTCAAAGTCATACAACTTCAAACATATACCTTTTCACAATAAGAAAGTATAATATGTTTACTAATAATAATAATTTATTGGTCACGGTAACATAAGCAAAATAAACAAAAAATACCCCTTGATTCATGAAACCATTGAAGCAGAACATTAAGGAGATAGATTATAGCTGATTATATGGGACTATTGAGACTATGCACTTTTGCATCACTGACTGAACTTAGTTGGAAAATCATTGAAAACCAGGAAGTACTGAACGACTGTTTCATTCTAGTATGGAACAACTGAGCACTGTAGGTATACACGATTCTACCAGGGTTCGGGCTCATGACTTCCAGACCACTGAGTTGACATCCACCGTTCTGCATTTATAACTCTAGTCAATTTGCAACATTGAGCAGTAATCGCTCAAAAAAGACCTCTTTTCTGAACCATATACTTGTTCAAGTGACTTTTACCGTTATCAAGATACATAGTCTTGTTTGAACATAAATCAATTTAGCCACCAAAGTATCCACATTTTCTCATACTACGTCAAATAGTTTTTACCATCACAATGGTGGCTTAAATATAGCTTTTTGTCATTAGTATTAGTTTTATCATTTTATCTACTGTACTAATAAAAGTTACGTAAGTTCATCATTGTAGATTACATTACTACCTAACTCCCAAATATTTTGTTCCTTTACAAAGTAGGGTTGTATGAATATAAGAGGTAGTTACAATTGTTATTCACCAACAAACTACATGACCTTGCGCATGTTAAATACGTGTTACATTCTATCTGTAAAAAGATTAGTGCATACGTGGACGATTCAGAGGATGTGAAATAAAACGAATTTATTTCATTTCTACGGTGTTATTTTTGCTTTCCGAAATTTAGACAAGACAACAAAGTGTAAGGGAATATAATTAATAATAATAATAATAGCAATAGTAATAGTAATAATAATAATAATAATCGTAGTAGTCGTAGTCGTCGTGTACTGAACAAGAACACGGGTGGGGACAAACGGATGTATTTAGCACAACAATTACAGTCTATTTCAACAAACTCTGAATATCATATATTAAATCGTCGATTTGCAAAATATTCGCGCATCAAACCAAACTGGATTGTTTCTGTTGCAAACACGAATCCATTGCCTCTCATTCCATTTTTCCAAGGTTTTCTTACAAATTCCATTAGGTTTTCGCTCCAGCTTTTTTTATCATCGCCATCTTTTGCTGCCAGATATAACGCTCTTTTAACACACGTTATATACTACTTATAACAATATAAGCAGCTCACACCACAGTAGTCGTAGTAGTAGTAGCAGTCGTAGTAGTAGTATTAGTAGTCGTAGTAGTAGTAGTCGTAGTCATAGTAGTCGTAGTCGTAGTAGTAGCAGTCGTCGTAGTAGTAGTAGTCGTAGTCATAGTAGTAGTAGTCGTAGTAGAAGTAGTAGTAGTCGTAGTAGCAGTCGTCGTAGTAGTAGTAGTAGTAGTCGTAGTAGTAGTATTAGTATTAGTAGTCGTAGTCGTCGTCGTAGTAGTAGTAGTAGTAGTAGTAGTAGTAGTAGAAGTAGTAGTAGTCGTAGTAGTAGTCGTAGTGGTAGTAGTAGTAGTCGTGGTAGTAGTCGTCGTAGTAGTAGTAGTAGCAGTCGTAGTAGTAGTATTAGTAGTCGTAGTAGTAGTAGTCGTAGTCATAGTAGTCGTAGTCGTAGTAGTAGCAGTCGTCGTAGTAGTAGTAGTCGTAGTCATAGTAGTAGTAGTAGTAGTAGAAGTAGTAGTAGTCGTAGTAGTAGTCGTAGTGGTAGTAGTAGTAGTCGTGGTAGTAGTCGTCGTAGTAGTAGTAGTAGCAGTCGTAGTAGTAGTATTAGTAGTCGTAGTAGTAGTCGTAGTAGAAGTAGTAGTATTCGTAGTAATAGTAGTAGTAGTAGTAGTCGTAGTAGTCATAGTAGTCGTAGTAGTAGTAGTAGTAGTCGTAGTAGTAGTAGAAGTAGTAGTAGTCGTAGTAGTAGTCGTCGTAGTAGTAGTAGCAGTCGTAGTAGTAGTATTAGTAGTCGTAGTAGTATTCGTAGTAGTCGTAGTAATAGTAGTAGTCGTAGTAGTAGTAGTCATAGTAGTAGTAGTAGTCGTAGTAGTAGTCGTAGTGGTAGTAGTCGTGGTAGTAGTCATCGTAGTAGTAGTAGTAGCAGTCGTAGTAGTAGTATTAGTAGTCGTAGTAGTAGTCGTAGTAGAAGTAGTAGTATTCGTAGTAGTCGTAGTAATAGTAGTAGTCGTAGTAGTAGTAGTCATAGTAGTCGTAGTAGTAGTAGGCATAGTAGTCGTAGTAGTAGTAGTCGTAGTAGTAGTAGAAGTAGTCGTCGTAGTAGTAGTAGTAGTCGTCGTAGTAGTAGTAGTAGCAGTCGTAGTAGTAGTATTAGTAGTCGTAGTAGTAGTAGAAGTAGTAGTATTCGTAGTAGTCGTAGTAATAGTAGTAGTAGTAGTAGTAGTCATAGTAGTCGTAGTAGTAGTAGAAGTAGTAGTATTCGTAGTAGTAGTCGTTGTAGTAGTAGTAGTAGTAGTAGTAGTAGCAGTCGTAGCAGTAGTAGTAGTAGTAGAAGTAGTAGTATTCGTAGTAGTAGTCGTAGTCGTAGTCGTAGTAGTAGTAGAAGTAGTAGTAGTCGTAGTAGAAGTAGTAGTAGTCGTAGTAGTAGTCGTAGTAGTAGTAGTCGTGGTAGTAGTCGTCGTCGTAGTAGTAGTAGTAGCAGTCGTAGTAGTAGTATTAGTAGTCGTAGTAGTAGTCGTAGTAGAAGTAGTAGTATTCGTAGTAGTCGTAGTAATAGTAGTAGTAGTAGTCGTAGTAGTAGTCGTCGTCGTAGTAGTAGTAGTCGTCGTAGTAGTAGTAGTAGCAGTCGTAGTAGTAGTAGTATTAGTAGTCGTAGTAGTAGTAGTAGTATTCGTAGTAGTCGTAGTAATAGTAGTAGTAGTAGTAATTGTAATGATAACAATGACAATCATGGTAATAATAATAATGATAACGAGGACGATAATAATAAGAATAATATTAGTAATAATAATAATAATAATAATAATAATAATAATAATAATAATAATAATAATAATAATAATAATAATAATAATGGCAATAATAGTAATGATAATAATAGTAATAGTAACAACAATAATATTAATGACAATAATAATAATAATCTGTCAGTATATTGGGTGGTGATTTATTTCTTGCTATGAAAGCAAGATAAAGATGTCACTGATTTGACTGAAGAAAGGATTTGACAGACCAGTCATTGAGCTGTAACACCAGCACCATCTTTTCAGTTACTAGAGTTCCACCGAACAAACTAAGGGACCATTACTGAAGTAATATTATATCACGCTATAAGAGTTGATGTTTCTTCACACGAATGATTCAGAGTTCCTTTCTAACAAACTATTCTACTAGACAAGATGGAGCGGGTTTTCATCGTCAGTTTTTCTGAACAGTATTATTTCGAGCATAAACAGAACAGTATGTGATATTTAGCTACTCATTCTTTAAACGATACTGCTTGTAGGACACCATCAAAAGTAACATGCATTTAATTTAACATACTTGAATATGTCAGTGAAATTCATAGGTACATCATATGACTCAAGGTGCCAGCCATATAACATTTACTGTGATAAGTTGATTTTTTTACCTGCCCAGTACTTACTAAATGTGAAAGTGATAACACATGCTTCTTTTGCAGAGAAATATTTCACGTCTGTGGTTTTGGATTATTTAAACCTTGTACAACTGCAGTTGCATATGTATCATTTAAGAGACTGATACTGATTTTAAGTATTAAAAAAAATCGACCAATTGTAAGAAACTTATTAAAATCTAAATATGTGTAAACTTACAGCAGATATGTGCGTACTGCAAGAATTTAGAAAATTAAGAGGGATATGGCTGGTTTCCATGATGACCTGGACCATAATTTTGCTGTGGCATTCCTGGCTGCGGAAAATAACCTGTTTGGTGAGAGCCTCCAGGTTGAGAGAATGAATTTGATTGTGGAAACAAGCCAGGATTAGGACAGACTGCAGGTTGTTGTGGCATCATTGAAGCTTGTTGCATGGGGTTGAAAGGCTGTGCAGGTGGATATTGTGGTGTCATGGGATTGGGGTAAAGTGGGTTGTATTTATGAAAACCACCTCCAATATTTTGTCCACCTGGTCCATATCCTCCTGTCATCCCATGCTTATAAAATAAAAGATTAATACACAAAACGTTAGGAACAACTTTAGTGGAAAGTATTTCAGTAAATAATAATATAAGCTAAGTTTTTAAGTGATGGTAGAAGACAGATTGTTATATCTCAATGAGAATAACGAATGGTAACTGTTGGAATCTATTTCTGGATTAATACTATACATATATTTTTATTGTATAATTGTTAAGTTACTAGACTATTCATATTCATGTTTCTCCTACTATAGGCTTTATTTTGACCCATAAACTATTTTTATACGTTTTACCATTCTTGAGTTTTGCCCAGTCAATTAATGACAAGCCCCCACATTCACAACCAATTTTGGCTAGATCTTGTACAAATGTTATTTTCTATTTTATGGTACGATGTGGTCTGTTTGCTTTGTATATAAACCCAGTATATTTAAAATACATTATTCATATCACAGAGACTGAGATTGGTGTTCTGGACTTAACGGACAGGGCTAGGCAGGAAGCAGGACCGACAAAAACTCTATACTGCTCGTACGAGTTCATGCGTCATTGGTCCAGTCATTTAAACCAAAAACACTCATTAATAGTTTGCAGTTAATTTTATGTTTGTTCAAGCTGACTCATGGCAAATTTGTTTTGCATTAATCTTATTCTCTGATTAGTTAAGTAAAAGGCAAAAGGAGTAGTGATGTCTTTACGATCTAGATTTATTCAACCACACAAGTAGAATATCAAACGAAATTTTAACACTGGTATCATGGTATAGTTCATTTTCTTCATAGATATTTTTTTATTTTCCAAACTTTCACAACTCAATTAGATGAAGCTCTCTCACACCATAACTATTTTGCTAGTCACTTTAAACGTAACTACTAAATATAATTGCATAATTCTACCCATGATCATATAAATGCCTCAACCAAACTTCCTACTGACTCATCATAATCGCCTGTTGTATACACTAAGACGTTTGCTCTACCAGGCTTCTGAAATATTAGAATAATTTCATTAAAATTCTCCGTCATGTACTGTTTACCCTTATAGTTTACATTTTATATTTAGAATAGTTAGCAAATCCTAGCTTGTAATTGATGGATGGTGATGGTTAATAACAAGAATAATACATTTTTAGACTCATTTAACAGATACAGATTCATGTAGATATCTTTGACCAGACTCCAAGTGAGGGTGTTGTTAATGTTAAGTACCCGGTAGCTCAAACTGATATGGGTGGAACGAGCTTTAAACCTGAGACTTAGATCGAACCCCGCCCAACAACTTAACTAAAATGAAAGCAATCGAGTACTAGTAATATTGGGTTAAATAAACTATTTGATGAATGAAAGGTAACAAATGTTACGGTGTTTTGATCCTAGTACTGACTAAACTCGACCCATCAAGTCTGCAATCAAGTTATTCAGCTTACAGATTCGATGTTCAGATGCATGGGACGTAGGCTTCAAGGTATTTTAATATAACCGTTAAGCAACAAATACTAGGCGTTAAGACATTTAACTTAGCTCAACACTTTCTAGCTCATACAAGTTCGATGCATAAAATTTGTGTACTAATGCAAGGTGATTGGAACGATAGTGAAAAATCACACATTTAAGTCGATTACCTGATATCTTTGCATAAAGTTTTGGTCGCAGGCTAGAGCACCATGAGGGCAATATCCGCAAATACAACGGTTTTTCTAATGATATAAAAAATCCAAAGTACATACTTTCATCATTTTTTTTCTGTACTTCAAACGTCGCTTCTCAATTCGTTCAGGCCTGTACCTGCCACCAGAGCTACTACTGGAACTGCTGCTGCTGCTACTACTACTACTTCTCTTCCCATAACCTTTCTTCTTACCCATTTTGTTGCAGTTTCTTATGGAAGTACGTTGAAGTAAACTAGAAAATGAAGACATGATGTACAAGAAACAAAATTACTGACATAATAGATCATTTTCTATAATTAGTTAGTGTGGACATAAAAACCGATATTGAACGGTGGCTAGAGTATTTCGACTTCAAAAAATAGATCTAACGGCTGTAGAAAGTCATTGCTTTTATAGTACTCCCAGTGTGGAAATTAAGTCTAAGCTAAACACCAACATTTTTAGTAACAAAAACAATATGACAATTTTTAAGCCTAAGAAGTATCAATCAAATGAACTTGGAAATCTGTAATTTTCAAAAGAGAAACAGAGACGAAAACATAGAAACTCTCAAGTACTTCGTTTTTTATTAATCAACTCTGGGGAATAAACCAAACGATCATAAAATCTTGGCAAAATATAAACAGTAATATCATCACAGACAAATACATGACATTTTAAGTTATAAATGTAACAAGCGTGATGAGTTTTAAACGATAAACAAAATTTGACAAGGCGGATTTAGTTTCCATGGTACAGTCAGTCAGCTACAACGTAGGACCAGGCACATATGTGCATCGGTACAAGTTGCCACACCTCATTGACACAACAAGATGAACACCAAATTCACAGTAGATACTTCACTGGCAGTAATGTATAATAGAAAGATTGTGTATGAGGATACAGCACAGGAAGAAAGAATTAGTTCGTAGAAAGTAAGATATAAAGCAATTCGACGAGAGCGTTATTTCTATCGGTAGGTCTATGATGAAGTTAAACAAATGCGGAGAGCCTTGCCAGATACCACTTGAGGTTGCAAAAGCAGATGACAGTTCGCCATAAGCACTGACTCGACTAGTGCACGGTACAAATGAAACAGAGATGCATACCTGTGAATGGGTCTTGAAGACATCAACTAGATGGTATCAACAAATCAAGACACTGTTTTAACAGACTATATTGAGTTGTCGATAATTACAATTAGACACTCAGATTTTTAGTGGGGCCCATCATTTTGACGTCGATTAGATAGGACGATGTTGTCGACGAGTTCACCATTTTTGTGGCTTGAGATCTGACTCCAGTTATATATGCCTGGTTGCTATATATATCGTCAATCGTATAAAATTATCGACTTAACTAGCATTGGTGGATAACAGAATTAAATAAGTCAAATACGAGACAGGATTTCGAATACGTATACTTTGTATAATCATTGATACAGGTAGACCATAAGAGGAACGAAGAGAAACGACACGCAGTGGAGAAGGCTTGTGAGCCAACTCCATTTAATCAATCGTTAATCAATATATATAGTCACACAAAAATAAGTTACAGAAATGTGACGAGTAGGATAAGATATACACACATACGCTCATATAAAAACAGTCAGGGTTGATAAGTGAATAATTAGCAAGGTCAAAACGTGACTTAAGAAGAATGGATAAATTGGTCTGTCCAGAAGCTAGAATAATTTATGTGGCCTTAACATAGTAACTGACACTACAGATTCATTAAAATCACCTCACTAGTAGTGTAATAAAACACTGAAAAATCGCGCGTGGCGAGGTTAGTACTTACAATTAGTCACCATATTGGAAAAAGATATATAATGAATGAAAAGCTCTCCATAATACAGACCTATAGCTATAACATAACGAGCACCAATTATAATTTAAAAAACGACTTGTTTCACAATACAGTGAATTATATAGGTTAAAAACATTCTTGATAACGAGGTGTTTCTTTAGGTGGACACTACTGAAGTAATAAAACTATGAACCATTGTAAACTGCAAAGCGGAATGTGACCATTATATTAAAAAGGAAACTTTGTGCTCATAAAAAGTAAAAAGAAGTACAAGATACTACTGTTGGAAGACTGTATAATTTAATTGCTTCATTCTATATAAATACGTCAGTGAAATGTAAAACTATGAAGAGCTTTATGAATTATACTAAATTAAATTATACCCACAGAATAACTTTCCAGTTTCCCGTACCGTATCTGCTACCTTGACTGATTGTGACAATCACAGAGGAATCAGTTTGACTAATATAGTATCTAAAATATTAGCTTCAATAATGCTTCGACGCCTAACTAAAGCTCGTGAAGAACAGACTAGAGAAAATCAGGCTGGTTTTCGACCTGGACATGGTTGCATAGACCAGATATTCACACTCCGTCAGGTTCTAGAACACAGACACACATTCAGACGTCCCACAATCGTAGTATTTCTCGACCTCAAGGCAGCATCCAACTCTGTTGATCGTGAGGTTCTATGGCAGTGTTTGTCACTGAAGGGAGTACCAAAGAAGTACGTTAACCTTGTGAAGGCTCTCTACTCGAACACAACTAGCCGAGTGAGGGCTTATGGCGAACTGTCATCAGGGCTGATCACTCTCTCCATTCTTGTTCAACTTTGTCGTTGACGTGCCTTTAAAGATAACACTTTCCACATCTGAATTTCCAGGGGTTGAACTTCTACCGGGAGATCCACTTGTTGACTTGGAATATACCGATGACGTAGTTCTATTTGGTGAAGACGCTGACAAAATGCAGAGTGTTCTGACCACTCTAAGCAACAATGCAAGCATGTTCGGCATGCGATTCTCCCCCTCGAAATACAAAATGTTGCTTCAGGATTGGGTTCCATCGACACCAGAACTAATGATAGGGAGTGAAGTAGTTGAGCGTGTCGACCGCTTCACTTATCTTGGAAGTCTCATCAGCCCTTGTGGTCTGATGTGTGACGAAATCTCAGCACAGATACAGAAGGCTCGACTAGCTTTTGCCAACTTGCGTCATTTATGGCGTAGGCGAGATATCCGTCTACCAACCAAAGGACGTGTTTACTGCGCAGCAGTTCGTCCCGTCCTACTTTATGGCAGTGAAACATGGCCGGTAAGAGTAGAGGATATTCGTAGGTTACTAGTATTCGATCATAGGTGTCTTCGAAATATTGCTCGTATATCATGGGACCATCGAGTAAGTAACACAGTAGTTAGGAAACGGGTACTAGGTAAGGATGGCAAATCAATTGATGAAGTGGTGAAACTATATCAGTTGAGATGGCTGGGACACGTGTTACGTATGCCCAACGATCGACTGCCTCGACGTGCGATGTTCAGTGGTATGGGAGTAGATTGGAAGAAAGCTAGGGGCGGCCGGACCAAAACATGGCACAAGTCCATGAAATCACTGACAAGTGGACTGAGCCATGTTAGTAGGTGTAGACTACCTGGTTGGGGACCGCGAGATGATAGCATCCTGTTTTTGTTACCGTTCTAGTTGATTTCCAAGATGGCTAAATCTGCTCACAAATGTGGACAACCATATTGCTTATTTTCCGTGGAGGAAGGGATGCAATGTGATGAGTGTAATAAGTGGTTCCATAAGATGTGCACCCGATTAAGCCCCACTGCATATAAAAGGTGCTCAAAGCCCAACTCTCATTGGCTTTGTAGTTTTTGTTGCTCGAGCAAAACATTGCTTATCCAGGAAGCGATTAGTCTCCTAGTGTTGGCTAATAAGAAGGTTGATGAGGGCTGTACTGGCAACATTGGTACTGATGGCGAAGATTGCGTTATTGTCGTAAATGCTGTCACGGCGCAAGCCAGACATCCAACTGTGCAACCCACTATTGCTACAGCAGCAACCGGTGACCCAGATAAAACAATTACTGTCCCGAGTGGTTCTAATGTGGATGCTACGACTGATGGTATATCGATGACACGGAAACGCAGAAGAATAGGAAAGACAGCTAAAACTAATGACCGTTCACTTGATAAGTACTTGGTGGACTCTCAGACCACTCCACCAAAGTCCCATAATAAAGCTTCGTCTAACATTGTGAGTCACTCGCTCGACTCCCAGGACACTTACAATAAAAACTAATCGTAAGATACCAGTAGTTAAAACACAGGATCTAACGTCACGGTCGAAAGCAGTGAACACAGTTTCAAACGAAGCTAAACCCCTCCCTAGTTTAATTATTTGGAATCTAGAGGAGTCGAAAGACAACGACCCTGCTAGAAGACATGCACATGACCTGCAGTTAGTGGAGTCTGTGGTAAGGAATGCACTACCTGAAGAGGTTTCAGGGGTACATATTACAAAAGTAATACGACTTGGTAAATGGGTTGGAGGCGAGACCCAACCAAGAAGAATCCTGAAGCTGGTTCTCGGGAGTTTTGAAGAAAGAGACATATTATTGAAAAACGCACCAAGAACTCGTGACTCAAATATCCGTATTCGACCAGATTGGCCGCTTGAGGATCAAATCAAGTGGAAGAATGCTCTTACGGAGTTGAGAACTCGCAAATTAAATGGTGAAAATAACCTTACCATTAAGGGTTTTCGGGTAGTCAGGTCTTGGAAGCCAATGCTTCCGAGGCCTGTATGGGTAGAACGATTGATTGCAAAAACACCTTAAGTGTGTGCTACATGAACGCTCGTAGTCTTAGAAATAAAACGTCCAAGCTAATTCTGATGGTGGAAGAATTATGTCCCGACATAATCGTTGTTACAGAAACTTGGTTCATAGCAGATATAGACTATTCTCCTTTCATTGCAGGTTATATCTGTATTAGAAGTGATAGAGTTTCAAGTCGCAAGGGAGGAGGTATAATATTATACGTTAGGGATCACTTTCGTATACAATCAACCATATCGGAGGCTCGTATCAGTGGCACATGTGAGGTTGCATGTTGTAAGATTAAATCTAGAAATGGGTTAGTGACTATAGGGGGAATATACCGTAGTCTGTCTTGTCTTGCTGACGACTTTATCCTAAGACACATCTGTTCTTGGAGTATGGCAGAATGTTGTCTCATCATTGGGGACTTCAACGCACCGCATATCAACTGGATAGAGCTTACAGTTTCAGGTAGTGGTTTCGATAGCGACCTTTTATCTACCGTTATTCAGTGTGCACTTGTACAATGTATCACAAAACCGACACATATTGATTTGCAACATGATCCGTCACTGCTGGA